ACCCCAGTGTTCATAGCAGCACTATTTACAATAGCCAAGACATGGAAACAGCCTAAATGTCCATCAACAGATGACTGGATAAAGAATATGTGGTATATTTCTATAATAGAATACTATTCAGGCATAAAAACCGACAACATAACGCCATTTGCAGCAACATGGATGCTCCTGGAGAATGTCATTCTAAGTGAAGTAAGCCAGAAAGAGAAAGAAAAATACCATATGAGATCGCTCATATGTGGAATCTTAAGGAAAAAAAACCAAAAAACATAAATACAAAACCGAAACAGACTCATAGACATAGAATACAAACTTGTGGTTGCCAAGGGGGCGGGAGGGTGGGAAGGGACAGACTGGGATTTAAAAATGTAGAATAGATAAACAAGATTGTACTGTATAGCACAGGGAAATATATACAAGATCTTACGGTAGCTCACAGAGAAAAAAATGTGACAATGAATATATATATGTTCATGTATAACTGAAAAATTGAGCTCTACACTGGAATTTGACACAACATTGTAAAATGACTATAACTCAATTAAAAAAAATGCTTAAAAATAAATAAATAAATAAACAAACAAACTTATAAAACATTAAAGGCAGTCCCTTCAGAACAACACTCATTTTTAAGCCTCCTGAAACATTGTAAAACAAGATCCAAAGAGCGATGAAGGGGAAATGACCAAGTCGATACACTAGAGAAAGGAATCAGAAACGAGATCTCCTTGGTGTTATCATTTGTGAGGTAGGCGCAGAGAATTTTGCTGTAACTCTGGGGACTCAGAAGGAATGCCCTCAGACCTGCAGAATGAATGAGGTAAAGATTGTTCTCTCCTGACCATCTCTCTGTGTGGTGACACAATGTATTCAGTTAATTTGGTATCACCAGTCATTGCCTGGTGACTTATCCAAACCACTAACAACCAGACCAGGACGTATGAGTGAAGACTATTAAGTAACACAACATAGGAAGTAAATTAGAAACAGGCACCCCTCCAGTTTAAGGGAGGCACAAAGATTAACACGCTCCTTCCTCAAAGACCCGACAGGCAGATTCAGGGGTGATCACCGTCTCACGGGGAATACACCTCTGCTGTTTGACACACCACGGATAAAAACCCATTGATTCAACTTTTATTAAGATGGGGAAAGAGAGCAAAAAGTAGTGCCAAGAGTAGTTGCTGGTACTAGTACTGTAATCACAGATTTTTGACCCTGAACTTGCCTGCTCAGCAACCTGCAGCACTGAGATGAGAATCTCGTACAACACTAACTAACGCCTCCAAGGTTGTGCCCCCTCCCCTCCTTGCCTGTCGCTTTCACGGGCGGAGTCGTCGGCTTCTCCCCCAACACGGTACTCCTCTTCCCAGAGCTGCGCTAGAACAATTTCACCATCTGAAACGGCCCCTCCACGTTTGCTCACTCAGGGCAGTTCTCCACTTTAACACCTGACTGTAAACCCACCTCCAGGAAGTCCTCCCTGTTTATTACAAACCATCATTTACTCTGCAGCCGAGCAGTCTCAGCATGTACATTTCTCCTTACTGAGAATGTGGGCTTGTCGACTTTGGGTTTTTGTTTTCCTATCTGAGAGCAGGGACTGCCTTGATATCTCCCCACAGCTACCTACACACTAGGCATCCTCCTCCTCCACCTCCTCATCATGATCACCAACACCTGCAACAGTATCTGCAGCCACCAATCACTGCACACAGACTATGTGTCCAGCTTTGGCGCTCAGCAGGCATCATCTAATTTAATACATTCAACAACCTTGTGAGGGTTATTGTTCTTACTATTCACATTTGGCAAATGAGGAAATTGACACACAAAGATGTTAAGCTACTTGAGAGCTGGGGTTTAAAGCCAGCTCTGTCTGATGCAAAGGCTCTAAGCTCATCCATGAGCTTCACTGTTTCTTCCCTTAAATTCCAGCACCTTAATCGCATGGGCTACTGGGAGATCTAGGTACCTAGGTATGGACCTCGGTATCTACCTCTATGTAGTCTCAGGGCGGGTTATTACAGAACTCAGGCATTAATTCTGAAATCTTTCCAAAGTTTTTTTTTTTAAGAATCATTTCTTTCAACCAGTCTCTCCTCACATTCATCTGAAGTGCTAATAGAGATTTTCAGAGCAGATATCTTGTACCCAGAGATCATCTTTCCTTCGTGTAAGTGTTTTCTACCTCCTTGTATTGCTAAGTCCTAAAAATAAAACTGTTTCAGACAATTCTTTCAAGGTATGAGTGTCTAGTCTTAAAACAGTATTTATTTTTATTCTTTGAAGATATAAAACATATCAAGAGTTCAGGATGGCAAACTTCAAACTACATGGTGGAAAACAATCTAATTGAATTCTACTATTCAGAATTCTAGTGACAGCAACAAGGAATCATTTTAAAACACACACACACAATGACTTTAATAAATGATGATGTGTTGCTATTTGAAAATAAACAAATGTTGTTAGAATTCTTACCAGGCCTTCCCCGGGCTTAATGTTTGGTAGGTGAACCTCCTCCAGACACGCACACTGGCTCATAACAGGATCCGTGGTAGATCGGATTGTTTTGTCACAGATGCCATTTAAAACCTTGACCTCGAGTTGGAGAAGCAAACAGGGAAGATTCAATCACCAACCAAGTTTATCTCAAGCTAAATCTTTAAAAAACACACTTTGCCTATCACCTTAAGCTCTGGCTGGCAATTGTGACGATACTGTTCTATGAACACGAGGCACTTCGACTCCATATTTGCAATGTGTGTGAACGGTGTCGCTATTTCAGCCTCGCTTTAAAAATACAGCTTCTAGGGGGAGGGTACAGCTCAGTGGTAGAGTGCATGCCTAGCATGCACGAGGTCCTGGGTTCAATCCCCAGCACCTCCATTAAAAATAAATAAACCTAATTACCCTCCCCACAAAAAATAGTTACATTTAGATTAATAGGCAAAAGATACGAATCAACAACTCCCCGTAGATGAAAAAAAAAGGCTAATTAAGATTTTTTTTTTAAATATAGCTTCTATATTAACTCGTTTACAGCCACTGGAGATCACAGGCTGGGCAGTTAGGGAGAATCAGGTTTCCCTGCTATCTGGGTGGGTTTTTTAGGGAAACCAAATTCTCTACAAACCAAATACTGACAAGGTAAAATATATATATATTTTTTGCCTGCACCTTTTTTAAAATAATTTTTACATTTTCAAACAGTTTTAGTTTTTAGGAAAAATAACTGAGCAGAAAGTACGAAATTCTATATACTTCCTTCCTCACCCCGACAAGTTTCCAACACAGTTATATTATTATAATACAGTTAATAATAACAAGCTATTATTAACATCTTGCATTCAGTTCCTGTGGTATATTTGTTACAACCAATGAACCGAGAGTGATACATTACAGTTAACTAAAGTCTGGTTTACATTAAGGTTCACTCTTTGTGGTGTACAGTTCTATGGCTTTTGACAAATGTGTAATATCATATACTCACCATTACAGTATCACAGAGAAGAGTGTCACTGGGCTAAAAATCCCCTCTGCTCCACCTACTTGTCTGTCCCCTCTCCCCCACTATGAAGCCCTGGCCATCACTGATCTTTTTACTGTCTCTATGGTTTTGCCTTTTTCCAGAATGTCAACTAGTTAGAATGATACAGCATATAATCTTCTCAGATTGGCTTCTTTCACTTAATAATATGCATTTAAGGTTCCTCCGTATTTTTTCATGGCTTGACAGCTCATTTCTTTTTCTTGCTGAACAATGTTCCATTGCTTGGATGTGCCAGTTTGTTTATCCGGTTACCTACTGAAGGACATCCTGGTTGCTTCCAAGTTTTAGCAATTACGATTAAAGCTGCTGTAACAGCCTGCGCAGGTTTTTGTGGATGTAGGTTTCTTTGATTTGGGTAAATATCTGGGAGTACAAGAGCCGGATCACAGGGTAAGAGTCTGTTTAGTTTTGTCAAAACCTACCGTGTCTTCCAAAGTGGCTGTACCATTTTGCATTCCCACCAGCAATGAATGAGAGTTCCTTCTGCTCCACATTTGGTGTTGTCAGATTTTGGATTTTAGTTATCCTAACAGGTGGGGAGTGGCACCTCCTTGTTATTTTAATTTGCAACTCTCTAAAGAAACATGTTGCACATCTTTTCATATACTTATCTGACAGCTGTGTATCTTTTTTGGTGAGGTATCTGTTCAGATCTCTTGTCCAATTTTTTTTTATGAAGTTGTTTGTTTTCTTATTATTGAGTCTTAAGAGTTCTCTGTATATTTTGGATACAAGTCCTTGATCTGATAATGTGTTTTGAAAACAGTTTCTCCCAGTTCCTGGCTTGTCTTTTCATTCTCTCAACAGTGTATTTATGGAGCAGAGTTTTTAATTTTAATGAAGTCATCTTATCAATTTTTCTCTCATGGATCATGGTTTTCAAGTATCTAAAAGCTCATTGCCAATCCCAAGGTCACCTAGATTTTCTCCTGTTATTTCTAGGCATCTTTGCATTTGACATTCAGGTCTACGATCTTTTTAGTGATAGTTCACATTCTCTGAAGGCCAAACACTGATGGGGTAAGATTTTAGAGGCATGAGGACCCAAGTTAAGGGGTCTCCATGTAGGAATCACAGTGGTTACTTGAGATTATTTCCCCCAATCAGAGTCATCTAACCTTTCAAAATTAAACAACCAAGGAAATCAGGAAATTCCAAAGAGTGATTTTCTTTTTTCCAAGGGGGAGAATCCAAGAAGTGACACTTTTTCACATTCCTCCAATTTGTTTAGCCTCCCTATTTATGGAAAATATATTTATAGCAGTTTCATTGCTAAATTCCTCAACATCAGTAGGAGGAAGGCCTTATCAAATGAGCACAGGCTGGCTTATATCAAAGGGAGGAAGCGGTGATGAATAGTTACCAAATGCTCTTTAAACAGTCACAGTGCATCTCCCTTCCATCACAGGGTTCTTGCCAAGAATTTTTTTTTAATCAAAATGGTCCTACCATGAAATCTGCAGATCAGTTTAACCCTGATTAACAGGTTAGCTAGCAATTTAAGTGTTAAAAGTGTTCAGAAGGGAAAAAATTAAAAGCAAAGCAGAGACCCCGAATATACACAATTTACGCACAGGAATTTTCACAGTATTTGGTCTTGTTATTAAATAATTTTTATTCTTCCCTTTCCACCTAAGTGAACAGACTCATATCCCCAAAGCCAATATTTCAAAGCATGTCCTGAAGTAATCAGCCACAGTACATTTACTTTAATTAATGTGATTCCCACTGTTTTGTGAAAAGGAATTTTACAGTAACTTTTAGAAGGTGTACTTACAACAGTTAAAACTTTCTCCTCCATTTCTGCTACAAGGCAGTCCTAAAGAAAGAAAATGAAAACTGTTAAGAGCTAAAAGCTTTCAAAACTGTTGGCTTAGCTCTCACGAGATATTCCCCGGGGCCCTGGGAGGCCCCTGCCCCACCCCCGACCCTGCAGCTGCAGGAGAGACCTGGATTGGAGAAGGGGGCAGAGCAGGAGTTGGGCTGGCGTTCCTCTCCTCCTAAGGCTCTACTCTCTCTTGACTCAGGACACTCATCATCCAGGGAACCTGTCTGACCAACTATTTAATCAGAAAACCCACAAAAATCACTGAACTGAAATCCACCCACTGTCCACACTGCACAGAGAGGAGGAAGTCAGGAGTCAGAGTCCAAGAAAGCTGACGGTGACTCCCCAGTGTGACCCCAAGCTGCGCTAGCACTGAGCCAACAAGCCAGGCGTCTTTAGCTCTGGGGCTGCCCACAAGAATAGCTTTCAAAGAAGGGTTTGTGTAAACTTAGCCACAACGTTTATTTTAAGCACCACTGAGATTAAATCAGATATTTCAGTCCTTAATAGATGAAAAGGGTTCCACAAAACATTCATTAACATGCTGCCAAAAAACTGGCCTTGAGGTATGCTGCTGATGACAGTCAACCACGGGCTGGAATGCAAAGCATTATTTACTCAGCTTAAGAACAAAAGACTCGGAACCATATGAACCCCGTTGGCTGATTTTAGGAATCACCATCGTCCTGTCTAAAAGCAGCTAAAGTGAAACCACCAGCGTGCAGCTCTTGTAGTGAACCTTCTAGAACGTATCTGCGGCAGAAGATTCCAATCCACAGGGCAGAGTGCACGCAGAAGAAAGGGAGAGCAGCAAGATGTGGCACCATTAAGTATAATCCCACACTCAGACATCCTGAAGAAAGTGTGTTATTTTATGTCCATGAAAGATGTCCGTTGGAACTGTCAAACAAAAATCTTTACTTCAATCAAAAAGTCATTTTAGGGAGGAGGGTGTAGCTCAGTGGTAGAGCACATACTTATTAGCATGCACAAGGTCCTGGGTTCAATCCCCAGTACCTCCTTTAAAATAAATACATAAATAAATAAATAAATCTAGTCTACTCCCCCCCCCAAAAAAGGGCCATTTTAGGTCATTTTTTTAATTGCCACTAGGGAGTAGAGATAAAAATGTATGATAATCTACACTATGTGATTTTATAACCAGATTTTCGCTGCCACCTTCTTAACTTTTAAAAAAACTTTCTCTACTAGGTAAAAATGCAGGAAATAATAGTTAACTCCAGTGCTCCCCAAATTTACACTGATTCAGGAAAAGAGCAGCCAAGTGAGAAAACACTTTTAAAAAAGAAATTCAAAAATGTATTTTTGCACACGTGAATCTGATACAAGTTTAAACTACAGGAGCGACCTCTGTGAAATATGAACTACAGCTCAAAAGTGTGCACTTCCTCCTTCACCTTGTGCATGGAGCTAAACATCACTTACCGTGAGGACCCCTCCCCTACTCACACCACCTGAAGGACAGAATTATTCAATATGTGCCAACTTTAGCAAAATAGAATACTTACGGTCCCGGGCTAGAAATAAAACTAATACTCTGTGTTTATGGGTTTTTGTTACAAATCCCAAAATGACATGAGGGCTGTCATCCCCGCGAGACGATCGCCCACAGGCAGAGACCTCTCCCTACACCCGAGCCAGGAGCCAAGGTAGATGTGGGACCTCCTGGGTCCTCATACTCGATTCCTTGATGGATCCAAGAAGCCACCAAGAAAGTGATCTCCTTGTGGTGATGGAGCGAGTGGGTGAGAGGAGCGCTCCTGCCTCCCTGAATTGTCCCAGGCAGCGTGTGAAAGGCTCGCCTTTTCCCTTCCACCACGGTGAACGTGGTCCCCACACCCATTCCTACTGGCAGGAAGCAGCTGCAGGTCTGACTTCATGTTGTTTGGTGTGAAGGCAACAGAATGGGAAAAAAGAAGTACTGGAACCGAGTCAGCCCCCGGATCCCGACAGCAGGGCTGAGCTCTGTCACAGTCCCGGGTCACCTGCATCAGCAGGCTCAGGCCAGCCCACCTGGCAGCTCCCAGGTGCCCCCTTCCCTCTGCTGCTCTTCCTTCTTCCTAACTGAGCAGCCTGGGGCGATCTGCTGAACCTTTCCATGCTTCAGTTTCCTTCTCTGTAAAGCGAGGATGATAAAACCTATCTCAGAGCATTGTCTAGAACAAAATGTGGTAACCCACGTCCAGCACGTGGTCCACACCTGAGACCCCACCAGCGCCCAACAAATGGTCTCGTAGCTGTCCCTCCTCTGCTGTGGGGTGTTCTTTCTTTCCATGCAGTTTTCTCGGGCTCCTTCTTGCTCACTTCGCACATCTCTTCCCTCACGGGAACTCCACACTTGCCACTGCCATTCAGTCTCTTGCCATCACTATTTCAGCTTTCATGCCCTTGCGACTTCGGGAGGACAGAGATCAGAGTCCCGCCCCACCATAGGATCCTTCATCTGAAGTTATAGCCTGAAATGTGGACGCAAGCTCTCTCTCCCTGGACTCTGGCTGAAGCAGGCTGAAAAGAAGTGTGCAGTTTCCTTACGGGGAAAAAACCAGCAACTGGCCGTCCTTCTAATCAGGAGAGGTACACGCTGTCATCCGAAGGAAGGATGCAGAGAACGTGACACGAAAGAGGAGGGGAAGGCGGCAATGCGTGGAACACGGGAAGTAGAAAAAGGACAAGCAGATGCCTCTCTTGGCAGACAGGGACACAAAGAATGAAGACTCACGGAGGGCATGTTCCTGGTCACCAGGAATCAACAGACGCAGCTTTGATACCTTCAATTCCCCAGAAGACATAGCGACAAATGGAAAAGACAGGTTTGTCTTCAAGAGTCAAAAGATCTTCTGTCAAGAAGTTTTGAGAAAAACTGCACTTCCTCGGGTTGTAAGAGGGGGTGACATCCCGGCAAATTCGGCCCTGCTGCTGCCTTGACGCCACACATTGGAAAAGACAGTGCAGCATCCTTCAGTTGTGCGCACGGATGTTATACCACTTGCCAAAGCACCTGTGTTCTCGAGCTCTACAGAAAACACGTGCTCATCGAGAGCGAAACATGTTTTTTCAGTCTAACTTCATATAATAACATTCCCATATATATTTATACACTGCCAGTCTTAATGCTTAAAAATTGTCCAGAGTTTTAAATTAACTAAAAAACACCAGAAATACCAACATATTTGTTAACTTTGTCTCCTTAAAGTACCAAGTTTGGTTCCAAAAAACCAGGACCAGGCAAGATTTTTATATTTCCCACTAAAGGATGGAATTTCTCAAGTCGGGCCTGTGCTTTCCTGCTTTCCATGCGTTGTATCTCACTCAACCTTTATAGCAATCTTTTGAGGTAGGTATTGCTATTTTTGTAATATTTTATTTCTCTAGATTTAATTTTACATGAATGCATAAATGTGGTCACATACATGCTTTTGGTTAATGAAAAAAATGTTTTCTTTGGCTTGGCTCCTACATCCCCTCCCTACTTCCCTCCCTGCCAAAGTAAATCCAACTTTTCTTCCAAATTGCCTGCTGTATTTACACATTTCTTTGCATATAGGTTTTTGGATGTATGTGTGTATTACACACGCACGTACACACACATTTTAAAATTTTATTGGCCACCATCTGTCTCCATATTACACTTTTTTCTGCTTTTTTCTCACTCCACAATAACACATAGGAATTCCCACAAATCATCTGGTGAGGTATGTATTAGTATTCACATTTTATGGATAAGAAAACTGAGGCTCGTAAGTTTTAAAAGATTTGTCGGAAGTCCCAGGGCTAATTCCTGGTAGCGGAGAGCCCATGGCTGTCTGTCCCTGAAGCATATGCTCAAGGAGCGCCGAAAGGAAAACAGAGACAAGAAATAAACACAATAGCCCTGTGTCCCTCAAGTTTGCGTTAAACTGCTTACGTGTCAAAAGCATTACCTCATTCGTTCAAACACACACTGAAAAAGCACCGTCAATCGTGTGCCAGGCACCATGCGGCCCAGTAAGCAGGGGCAAGTGCGATGGGGATGCCCAGTGAGCGCCCTTCTAATTCTAAGCAGGGTCGGACGTGTATCCCTGGGCACCATCCATCCCAGATGCCAGCACTTAGTGGTTGCATGATGAATGTACCAGAATCAGTGTCAGGCTCTTTTTGTCAAAATTACTTCATACACTATGAAAAAGAGCCAAAACTCTGAGCCACTTTGTTGCTCTGAGCTCTCTCCTCAGAACGTGGCCTCAAAAGCACAAGATGAAGTCACACGTGCCTCAAGTTCAAGGGCTGCTCAGGACGGGACCTTAAACCACAGCCAAACTCCACTCTTCGTGTTCCAGGAACAGCCAGAAAGCACGTGGCTTTTCAGAACTGCATCTATTTTATGGAATGGTTAGAACTGAGGAAAGGAAGTTCTTTACTTTTTGCCGAATCAGCAGTGGAAACAAACGTGCAATCACAGAAGTTTAGAACAAGTGGGACGTGAAAAAAGGACAAGCTCTTCCTTACATTTTCTGGCCTCAACTCAATTCTACAAGAGTCTGCTCCATGCCAATTACTATCTTCCCGGCCTTTACTAAGATGCATAGGTCTGGCCAATGAGCTGTGCCTGAAGTTGACATGCCACTTCCAAACCAGAACTTTGGCAGCGTGAGAATCACCAGGTTCTTTGTCCCTCTGCCCCAGGGACAAGCAACCTGAGATACTGGTTGTTCTATCAGCCTACATCCTGAAGTAAGAACAAAAGCATATCCCCCTAGCTGCCCCATTTGGATGTAGATAATCCAGGGATAAACTGCTGAGGTTTTGGGGACTGTTTGTTACTGCATCACAACCTAGCTCATCCTGACTGGTAAACCCAACCAGCAAATGTCAAAATGAAAAGAAAATTAAGAAGCAGCTAAAGTAACATACTCAGAACAAAGATTCTGATGAAACTGAGTTAATCTAGAATTTCTATTTTAAAAAAAAAAGAAGTGGTCTAACACTGTAGAAAAAGTCCGAGACTATTAGCACAGCTATTTTAAAACAAAAGAAGGTAATCTTTGCTCTAAAGGCCATTGGTAATTTTTCACAGACACCATCTGTATGATGCATCTAATCTAAAGCCTTTCATCTCTCCTAGGGATGGGGGGGAGAATGGTACTTCACACCTGCATGTAAACCTTTTGAAGAAAGGGAATGGGAACAAGGGGAAAAGCTTTTAGACAGTGACAGTGATGTACTGACCTTCTGGACTGCAGTGGTCAGGTCCAAGCAAAGCTGAATGATTTTGTTCTTCGCTACTGAGAAATCAGTGATCCCTGTAAACGGAGCCCTAGAAAGCAACAAAACTTCTCTTAAAAAAAAGGTGGAGAGGATGAATCCACTGGGATCCCACACTGTGTTAACAAGCACCGCTATCCAACAGGTAGTTTAAATTGTTTTATAATTGTTTCCTCTCAAGTCATAGGCAAGATACCAATCTGACAGAAAAGAGACACAGAAGTTCTAAATAAAAATACATCAAAAAATGAGCCAGGAGAATTGATGTCCCTTCAGAAGTCAATTATCAGCCTTCACACGACCGAACAGTCAGGAATGTTTCACTTCAGTAAAACTCAACTTTAACTCTTCTCTAAACTGCTGTTCATTTGTTCCTACTACTCATGTTCTTGGTAACTTCCAAAGGGACCCTAAAATCAACCACTGATCAAGAACTCCTGGACAGGTCCATTGGCAAGGACAAGAAAGGGACAATGGTTCATTTTCTAAGGCAAAGCACAGATTTCCAGTGCATCTCAGACTCTCCTCTGATAGGACAGTAAAACACACCCATTAACTTACCGGTCCAGCCAAGCTAACAAGGCCTTGGCAGCACCTATCAGCTCCACCACAGAGGTCAGGAACTCATTGGGGGGCTTATGGGAGGTGTTCCCATCATAAGTTGCACTTTTCCGCCGGCTACTTATATAATTCTGTAAGTCGTGGGAAGATGCTCGCAGTTTCAAAACCAAGTTCTTCATATTATCGGTCTCAAGGCCATAATTCTGTGGAAAACAAAATCACAGGGAAAAATTCAAAACAATCAACAATGTCCAAACTCTCCTAATAACTCAAAAGCCTCCTAAGTAACTTGAATAACTCCTACGTCAGCCACAAAACCCTACGTGATTTACCCACAGTGTTGATCTCACCCATGTGGGCCATGCCAGCCTTCTCTCAGTTCCTCTCACAGCCCACTCTTGCCTCAGGAGCTTTGTTCTTCCTAGTTTCTCTTCTCGACATGCTCCTCCCACAAATTTTGGCATAAACAGCTCTTTCTTATCACTTACATCCTAATTAACTCAAAAATTCCCTCCTCTTCAAGGTTTTTGGACCACCTAGAGCAGTTTCTCAACCTGGGCCCTAATGACATTTAAAGTCCAGGAGTTCTTGGGTTGGGTCGGGAGCTGGGGTTCCGGTAGATTGTAGAATGTTCTCATTAGGTATCAGTAGCATTCCCCCTCCACCAAGCTATGAAAACCAGAAAACGTCTCAAGACATCGCCAAGTCCCCTGAGGTCACTCCTCGGCCCATCGCCGCTGTCACCTCTGAACCACCGTGTTCCTGCTGTCTTCCTGACTGGGATGCGAGGTCTGGGAGAGCTGGGCTCTGTGTTTACCGCTCACTGCCGCATTTCCAGCACAGCAGACACAAAGCAGTCGCTGAACGGAGGAACTTCCATCGGATGAGACTCACACAGAAGCAGAGCGACACTGACTAAACACCAGCTCACCTGAAATGTAACTTCCATCTCGTGCGTTTCTAACCAGTGTTCTCTCTGAACAATGTTCAGCGTACTTGGGTGCTTTTAAAAAACCCAGTTCATGTGACATTGCCCTGGACTACTCCCTTTCCGATAAAGAACAAATCCCAGGAAACAACACGTTTAAGTCTGAGATGACTCTGGGGGAAGGGGTGATGAATTTCAGTATTCAATTGCATGTACATGTCCTAAGCTGGTGTTTCCTCATTTTTTTTTACAGGAAGTCAAGATACTTCTGGAGTATATTAAACTGTGTCAGTAGCATCCCAAAGCATGAACGCAGCCCCATTTAAATATTGGGAATAAATATACAGCCAACATTTTTGAATATTTACTCTATGCCAGAAACTCTGCTAAGGGCTTGGCAAGTAGTCTCTCAGGGAAATAGCCTATGAAGGTGGAAATGACTTTATCCCCATTTTACAGGCGAGGAAACTGAGGCACAGAGACACTAAATAAATTCTCCCAAGTCACACAGCTATTCGGTGGTAAGGGTGGGATTCTAACCAAGGCAATCGCATCAGGGGCACGAGCTTTGAATCATGATGCTGTATATCCCCCCTTCCACATTCCCTGTCCAAGAAAGGGCAAAGTGATAAGGCAGAAAACAGGAGGGACACTAGACAAGAAAACAGAAAAGTGGCCAGTGATTCTGGATCAAGGACAAACTAACAGACTGCTTAACCCCCCTAAGTTCTGTCCTGCCCTGTTCCACCCCCTCTGATGTGTCAGAAGTTCTTTCAGCTGGCTTCAGCCATCCCGGACCTCATTTCTAACTTCAATTCGATTTCATGTGAAGTTTAAATTTACATGGCACGTTGCTTCTTAGTAAAATTAAAAACACTTTTTAAAAATCTAGATAGAAAAGAGTGAAAAACAAATATAAAGAAAAAAAACTTCCCAGATGCATTAACTGAAAACTGTCTTTGCAAGCTTTAAAAAAAAATGTAAACTTCCTGACAAAAATGAGTCTTCCCGTATGAACACTGATGTTCCATCTAAACCTGATATTCTTTCATTTTTTTCACAGTCATTTTCTAGAGACCAAAATATGGTATTGTCCTTCATTTGAGAAGACAAAAATAAAAAGATGGATTTTCATCACGGCTTGTTAAAATCAGAGAATCGAAGACCCACAACTGAATAGATAAGGGGCCACATGACACAGCTTGCTTGGAAGGACTTATGACTGCAATTAAAGGGAACTGTCCCTTTATTCGGTTAAGTACTCCGCCTGCCAACTTTTATCAAGAGTTCTGAACTAAAAGCAGGAACTCAGCTCTCTACAGCCAATGTCATCACAAAGTACTTGGAATTTTTGCTACCTACCATACACGACATTTATTGCTTGAACTCAAAAAGGGTTAAATGTATTTTAGTGTTACAAGAAATTTTAAACCTCCGTCTTCTACAAACCTGCCACTTTTAATATTAAAATAAAGGAGTGTGGCTTATTAACGGGTTCTTTCCCATTTCCACTCAGTTTCTCTGATTCCTTTTTTTTTAATCAAAAACAAATGGGACTAGAAGGACGGCTAGATGTAGCTATAATAGATTATACTTTTATAAAGAAGGAACATTCCTTCCCCTTCTACCCCATTCCACAGTAAGAAGAGAACAAGAAACTGATTATATTAGTTCCAAAGAACCTCTACTGTAGAAACATAATCAGGAAAGGATTATTGACTTACGTGCCCCACAGTGAAAGACAGCAAATGAATAATTTCTCAGGCCAGATTTGATTATTTTCACTAATCTTTTCCCTAAAATCTGTCTCCTTCAGAAATTGCTTAATTCAAGATAAGGTATTAAGAAGATACAAACTAAGTAAGAAACAAAATGAGTTTCCAAAAATCTATGCACAGACTAAAAACCTTCCACCAAGATCTCACTTCATTAGAAATAAGCCATCGGGGCCATTTCCTGGTCTGGCCAGAGAAACGACACGACACAAGAAAAGGGAACAGGCAGCTCCTCTTTCCTCTGCTGTCTTAAATTGCACATGTTTTAGCAAAGGACAAATCTTACACAACTCCTCTGCTACTTTCTTTTCCTGTTCCTTCCAGCTTTGTCTGAGATCTAACACACATAGTGATTAAAGAGTGTCACAGACACACGATCAAATCCATCCTACTGACTTGGGTCAGTTAAGTTTCAACCTAAGAAAGAGACTCCACGGTGTAATAAGATCAAGTGAAGCACAAGTTGCTAGCAAAGATTCCTCTTCCTGCATGTTTTCTCCCCCATAACAAAAAGGATGACATTTTCGAATTGTTGCCAAGGCTGGATACATGATGAACAATGAATCATCTCGGGGGCACTGGGCGCACAGAAGCACCCTGGGGGCATCACTTAACACATGCATTGATTCCAACTTTGTTCACTTTCTCAGCCTACTTCAGCCTCAAAAACACATCTGTCCCTGCCTTGGCCTGTAGGAAGCTAGGGTCTGGTTGATCTGGCTAAGAAAATGGGTTTTACAATTATACCTTATTGCTCTCCATCCCACCCTAGAGACGGATGCTGTCCAACGGGACTTTCTGCAGTGATGAAAATGTTCTCTGTCTGCAGTGCCCAAATATGGTAGCCACCAGCCACGAGGAGCTCTGGAGCGCTTGAAATGTAGCTGTGCGCCTAAGGAACTGAACTTCATTTCACTTTAATTAATCTTAATTTAAATAGTCACATGTGGCTAACAGTTACTAGAAAAAAGCAGCTCTGCAGCCTGTCCCAGTCACCCTCTGCCCCAGATAGGAGGAGAAAAACTGGGCTCCAACCCTGAATTCAATCCTGGGAAGTGGTTCTGGTTCTGCCTTGCACCCAAGTCACTCTCCAAAGCCAAGGTCAATATTCACAAAAGGCAGTTTCTCCCCTTGCTGCCCATCCAGAACCAGCAACTTGTGGTCCATCTGCTCATCAGTTTTGGAATCTTCATCAATAGCTGTTCCCTGTTTTAGGTTCTTGGAGACTCTATCTGCCCTTTGCTTTCCAAAACTTTCCAGCGTTTTTTTTTTTCTCCCTCCTCTCTCACTTCTAATTCTACTCATTTCCTCTCCATCATAAAATCAACATCCACTTAAGTGTTTACATTAAAGTGTCTTCTATAACTCTGGGGACAACAGCAAATATATATTAACTTGTTCAGGGGAAGGACTGTTCAAGACAAAAGATTATCACTGATTTATATATACAAAGATCCATATAGTATAAATGAATTAAACAGACAGTATAAGTGATAAATGCATTACAATAAGAATATTTTTAAAGAGATTATAGCCAGGATAAAGTTATTTTAGTGAAACTCTCTAAAACCTTTCCCAACCCAGAAGAGGCACATTCATATAAGAACCCTCCTGTGACCCTCCTGTCAAACGCGTTCACTGATACTCTGCTGCCCAAAACACGTCCAGAACGAGTCTGAGGCCAGAGCTTTGTCTACAGAGGAAATTAGAAGGAAATTGTAGGAGATAAAACACAGCTTTAGGTTCTGGCATCCATTCAGCTTTGTTCATTTTAGTCGAATATTTTAAGAGGTAGGGAAGGGGAAAAGCAGAGAGACAGCTGTTATGTTAATCATCCCACTGGACGCAGGCAACATGCTTCTTTCCATCCTTGCTCCTCCCTCCTCTCACACACTGCGGATTTCAAAGTACTTTACCTGCCCTCGAAGCCCTAGCACAAAGTGAAACAGACAATCTCCAACATCAGCGAAGACCAAAAAGCAATGTCCCCAGAAAGTATACTGAGAGTAACTCGAACATGTCTTACTGTACGAAAAACACGGTTTTAATAATAAACAGGACTCAGATGTCTTCTGGACAGGGCGAAACATGTACACATTAGTACACAGCCACATCTAAGGAAATGTCACTCCACAAATGGGGAAAACAGACTCCAGTGTAACAGACAGCAGCGTTTCCCAGGAGGTCACAGAGCCAGGCGTGTGCAGCACAGCCAGGATGAAAATGCAAAACCCAGCCTCCCAGGCCAGCGCTCACACCACTTGGCCATGGCGTCTCCCTGGTGGCAGCTCATTTATCAACCACAAGCAATTTCCCCGTTACTTTCCTAAACGAGGGTAGCGCATCTGAGAGCAGAAGACAAGGCTCTGTCCATTTTAAGAAGAAGAATACGCACCAGGCAGCAAGTGTTATATAAGCAACAGACCAGCAAGGGCAGAATTGCCGGGAACATTCTTTCCCACCATTCTCAGTGATGTCGCTGTATCTACCCCTGGCTCAGGTTCACAGCAGAACTAAGCCAGCAGGAATGCTGCGTGTGTCCAAATCCTGACCGTTTAGGAAACGGCATCGTTCACGTGGCACCGTGACAGACTGACGCGGCTCCCACCCTGTGCCAACCGGTTTATAAGCACCATGCCCTGACAGACGTTTTTCGTCTACACCTAAAAGAGCGACACACACGGCCACAAGTGTAATGAAGAGTCAGAACCTGGCAGGATTTAACTCACTCATGTTTAAGTCCAAACTCAGCTACGAAGTGTAACCAAGTTCACGTTTGTTCCCCTCTAGCTACCATTTCCTAGGGTGATTATTTCAAGCACCAGCATCACTTACTGAAATAGCACAAATTATCTGTGAAACCTGAAAATGCTTTTTAGAGTAACAAAAACAGTCGTGCAAACCAGAACCCATTTGTTGTTTCGACGTAGAAGATGACGTATTCATTCAGAATGATGTTCATCTTTTTATTCTTTACAAAAGAGAAGAAAATTAGACTCATGCAGAATTTTTTCCAGAAAAGGCACACTTTCTCTGTAAAGGCCACCATAGCAACTATTTTAGGCTTTGAGGGGCCTCCACGGTCCCTGATGCCACCACCCAACTCTGCCACGGTGGCACAAAGCAGCCACAGATCACGCTTCGATGAACGTGCGTGGCTGTGTTCCAATAAAACTTTATTTATAAAAATAGACAGCAGGCCAGATCTAACCTGCAGGCCAGAGTTTGCCAACTCTATCTAGAAAATGTTTCTTTTCTTCCCTTCCAAGGTTATTTTCTGCTCAGGCTTTACTTCAATGGATCACTAAGAAAATGATAAAGGAAATCGCAAACAATGAAGATTTAAAAGATGAGGTTCTAAAAATCATCATCACGGCACAGATCACCTTTTCCTGAACTAACCAGTGCACAGAGAAGGTCCACAGCCTCCAACACAAGTTCCTGGTGGCCAATCCGAGTGACACCCAGCTCCTCAAGATCTTGATGGGAAATCTGGAGCAGCTGTTCTCCATTTATCTTCTCCCGTTCGAACTTGTGGACGTACTGCTGCAGGCAATCATCCAACCCTACCGAGAAAGCAAAAAAGTCCATCACTGTCATTTCGTTCTGTGGCTCAAAAAATTGCCCACGTTTAAATCAACCTCAGGAACTGCCAAGTATGCTCCGTGCTCTGACTGTCTGCACAACGTGTGTTCCACCTGAAGGACTCCTTTCACGTGTGTCCTCCTCTTCATAGACAGATTTTAAATATACATCTTAAAATGTTCAGAGGGATGCAGCACAATTTTGACTGTTACCTTCTCATCCCCTTTTGGCTAAAAGAATAAACACTAACCCCCCGCTGACTTGAGATGCTAGTTATCTGCGCCATTCATGTCTGTCTGCTAAGCACTCTCCCTCTGGGACGCCAGCCCTCTCCTAGCCCACGTGAGCCCAGTGGACTTGCCAATCAAGATGCTTTGCCCCAGTGACTGGCCACAATATTCTCTCCATCAGCCAGTTATAGGTTCACGGATGACCATGTGACTCCAGCAGAACCAATCAAAATCTTCCCTGATATTTGATATATGAACATAAGAAGATAAAGACTCTTTCTTCTTCTCCAGTTGGAAGACATAAAGACACAACTTTGCGGATGCTGGCAGTCATTTTTCCAATCAGTTTTTGAAAAATAAATCCAATTGAGAGAGAGAAAGAATATGCCCCAATAATATCCTACATGTCCCTGGATCTAACCCTTCTTAGAGACACCTGAACCCCAGAATTTTGTACTTAAATCAAATAAATTCCCTTTTTAGCTTAAGCTTATCTGTGTTGAGTTTCTGTCCCTTGCAACTGAAAAAGTTCTGACGAACACAGACTCCAACAGAGAAGGTACTAGCAGTGAGAAAGAGTTAGGTTATGGGAATTTTTGAAGGCACCAGCAGTGGTAGAATGGGTTAACTTACAGGAATTTTTCCAGGTCAAATACAACTGCCAACAGTGTTGTATTTTAATGCCTTTATATACTGATTAAAATAGGTAAGCCTAACAGAACTTAAGATTCTTTATTCCTGTATAGAGAACTCTCTGGTCAACATGTTTTAATGGTTTTACTGGAAAATTTTACACTGAATCAATTGATCCATTTAAGTCTAATAATTAAAAGTCACCTTAGTGTTTTAAGGCTAGATTTATATAAATGCAATCCCAACACACAGGATGAAAACTCAATAACTAGAACAAAGTATGTAGAAGGCATGCTGCTGTTCTCTACACACACACACATGCACGCACTCACGCACGCACGCACATCCACTTCATCTACCCCTCACAAAAGCTCTCTGTGTGGATACTCTGAACAAGGAGAAGCAGACATAGGTCCAGTACTTACTTTTGGCAATACTAAAGTCCATGGGTTTTAAATTCTCATGTGCTAGGCTAAACCATACCTCTGCCCCACAAACTTTCACCATTTACCTCTAGATAAGATACAGAAAGAGGAACAATGTCCTGATAAAAGTTGGGGGCTACCAAATTACAGGAAGAGGTGGCTAGAAAAAATTAATTTTATGATAGCTAGTTGGAACCAACCCATCCTCCCTGAAGTGACATCTGTCTAGCAGCAGGTTGGGGACACTGATACAAACCCAGCTCCATTTTGATGGCCTCAAGCCACTAGTGGCCCCCATGGCCTGTGAGTGGGGCAGGCAGTGGAGGCCATGCAAGTCAGCAGGTATGGAGGGTGGCACCCAACCTGGGTACCCAGGGCCGTCTGTCTGCTCGGGGGCAGGACCGATCTGCAGTTGACAACAGTGACAAGGGCCAAGAGCCAAAGAGAACCTCTTGGCAACTACACTCCCATTTTATAGATGACTAAATTAGGACTCATGGAGGTTGCATGACTTGTCCACAGTCACAGAGCTGGTAAGATGCCGAGGACTTTGTTAGCCATCTTCTTCAGCTCAATACAGAAGAGCTCAAATTCAAATCAAGGTCTGTTGACACCAGCCCTAATCTTTTTGCACTCTACCCGGCAAACATGAGATTATAAAAGTTCCTCTCCAAGCATCTTCCCAAATAAACAGAAAGGTCAAATTACAAAACAGTTACTAAAACAGAATCATGGAAACCTAGAGGTACTTAGAAGATACTTCACATTTCACTGAATCCAAAAAATTGGGAAAATACAGACAAATGACTAATTACTGTTTTACCCTAAATCACTTGGCCAGCTTTAAGCCAGATCAAACCCATATCCTACCATCTCCCCTCCTTCAGAAGTTTGTCTTCCCTTGCCTACCTTTAAGCTTTAAAGAGAATTTTTGTTTCAATTTGTCCTAAAAGTTTAGGACAACTAAATCATACACTTAAACCTTGTTACAGTTGAACTGTATCTTCCCAAGATTCATATGGTGATGTTCTAATCGCAGTATCTCAGAACATCACTGTATTTGGAGGGAGTATGTTTAAAGAAGTGATGAAGCTAAAATGAGGTCACATGGTTGGACCCAAATCCACTGTGACTGGTGTCCTGACGAGAAGAGGAGATGCATACACAGAGAAGAGCATGTGGGGCACAGGGACAAGAATGGATCCACAAACCAAGGAAAGAGGCCTCCGAAGAAACCATCCCTGCGAACACTATGATCCCAGACTCCTGGCCTCCAGAATTGCCAGAAAATAAACTCCTGTTGTTTCAGCCCCCCCGTCTGTGGTTCTCTGTTTTGACAGCCCTAGTAAGCCAATATGAACCTAATAACATTTTATTTCATATTCCTCCGCGTGTGATAAACTCTTTCCTAAAATGAACGCGGCCCAATGACCAGCAGGGCTGAGATGCTCGTTTACTGGGCCAAGCAAGCTCATTGCTCAAAATACAACCATCAAACTGAGAGATTTGGATTAGTTCTCATGTGCAGAAGAGACCAGTCCATCGAATTTAAAGTGAAGGAGCCATGCACAACGGAGGTTCATTAAACTTCATCCCTGAGTAACAAGCAGAAATAAAGACGAGGCCAGGTTTCTCTTCTAATGAACTGTGAAACATTTCACTGAAGAAACAGGATTTCAGAAGTGGCTTTGGAGCATGAAGGAAATATTTTGGACACAGAGAAGAAGGCTGAGATGGGAGGTGGGAGGAGCGTTCCGGAGAGGACAAGAGTTGCAAATGGTTGGAGAGAAATAAAGGAAACAGAAGAACATTTCCCTGGAAATAGGCCAGATTCTCTTTGAGAATTCTGAGGCATATAAATGATCTGACCTCAACTAATCAAAAGATCCCAAGGTATAGGAGAATTACCAAGTAGAAACTCCATGTTGCTACCTACCCAAACACAGACTCTAAAGTGGCTTGAAGACTTTCCCATCAAGGGACACATATATTGAATATGCTAGTTTTTAAACAGTATTGTCCTCAGTTTCATTATTTCAATACATGATGGCCAATTGTTCAGTTTTCCAATTGTTTAGAATACAATTAAACATTTATAAAAAGCCAAATCAAACAATTATGCAGTTCCACAAAGGAGGGGGAAATCCCCATTTACAAATGACCTGGTTTTAGAATTGGTAATACACTGTACACTTTAACCTATTTGTCAAATGGACCTATTTGTCAGTTCTCTGGTTCAAGGAATTTACAAAAAGTCTAGCAGGACTGAGAGAAACACATAATTAAATCAAATTAGATTAAACACAATCCACTTACACAAATTAAATTAAACACATAATTGCATGTGAAAAGAAGCACGAATTAAAAGAAAAGGGAGTCCCATAGAATGGAAGCCACAGGGAGAGGCGGCCCAGACATCCTCCGGTTCCCAAATCTGTAAGCAATCCTAAACCTTCAAAGAAATCCCAAGGGCAAAAAGGAAAAAAAAGAAAACATCTTATGATTTCAAAGATACTACTCCACGATTTATATCAGAAAGCAGCAGGGCAGTGGTTGAGAATCTGACTTCCACTCTCAGTCATGCTTCTTGCTACCTGGGTGCCCGGGGGCAAGTTACACAGGTGGCTCATTCGTCAAACAGAGACATTAATACTATCTACTACCCAGATCTGAAGTGAAAATCAAGTGTTAATAGTTACAAAGCGCTTAGACCACTATGAAGCAAGTAACACTCTTTGTATTTTGTTCAATTAAAAAAGCAATTTATTCAGGCCCTCAGTTTCCTAAGTGTTCAATAACAAAAGTTATTACAGAGACACATAAACTCTCAAACACTTACGTAGCCCCCCTCTGGAACAGAGTAAATTGGAGATAAAACAAAATCTCCACAGCCCATGTTATTACTTTCCCTGGAGGGTGCCCCTGATTTGTGAACTTACCATTATCATTATTGTCACTTAAAAATGTTAGGATTTATATCAGAACATAAGCATCATGAAAATAGTCTCCTTTTTATTCATTGCTTATCCCCCTGCATTTGTGAAATAAATAAATGAATGCATAAGAAAGACAAAGAACTTCATGTAAATATGAATGTTATACCAATGCACGAGTCACCTGATCTTATTTTCCCATGCAGATGAGTAGAGATAACGAACTACTGATTGTGATACCAGTTAAGATACTGGTTGCAAGTTTCAATGTTTCAAGGTTAAAGGAGGTCATTTCCACATTGAGAAATAGTATAAACTAAATAAAACCCCAAAATAAAACTCCAATCTTTAACGAGCTACTCACCCTGTACTAAGAATCGGTTTTGATTAATTAATCTCTCTAAAACGTGAAAAGATTAAGCAGTGAGAGTGGATGCCCCAATGCAAAAAAGTCTAGAGCTATTCTCTTCCTATTTCCTGTACGAGACTAAAATCAAGTCAGTGACTAGATCGCCCTCTGTCCCAGCAGGTACGGCCCACGGCAAGGACTTAACAAGGCCATGCTCTCAGCCAATAGGTCCAAGTCAGCCAAAGTTCTATTCCTGCAAAGACAGTGAGCCCAAAGTTGTTCTACAGCTCTTCCCATCAGGGACTTTTGATCACTAAAGCATGTTTAACGAGAGAGTTTTGTTTTGCTTTGCCCTGTTTTTAAGGAAATGTACTGATACAGAAATGGGTCTAGCTAAAGCTTATAGATTCA